GTATCAAATCTTGCTAAGATAACAGAATGGTGTTTGTTAACATATATATGAGGCCTCTGGACACAGTGTGCAACAGAATTAGACAGTGAGCAGTGTGGAGAGACAGACAGAGAGGCACAGAGACAGGCCACGTTCTCTGTGTTTCCTGTTGTTGCAATAAAACTCAGCTGATCATCTCACGGAGTACCTTCATTCTTGACCAGCGTATTTCTGTCTCTATTGTTAAATAAATAATTGCCATAACAGACCGGAAAAAACCAAGACGCTCCTCCCTCTTCAAACGTGCGTCTAGTCTCTGTCCCAGTCTGAACATAGTGCGTCCAATTGGAGGCGTTGGGTGATTTTTGCTGCTCAAAACGCATTTGATGTGAACATAGCATTAGAGAACATTTGGCTTCAGAACCTGTACAACTGATCCCAATTTACTATGGTAAAAATGGTAAATGGTCTGAACATATTTAGCAATTTTAAATCTTTCCGGACCCCAAAGTGGTGACACTACAGATATTCACCCATTCACACACACATTCACACACTGATGATGATAAGCTACATTGTAGCCACAGCTGCCCTGGGGCACACTGACAGAGGTGAGGCTGCCATGCACCGGCACCACCAGACCCTCTGACCACCACCAGTAGGCAAGGAGGGTGAAGTGTCTTGCCCAAGGACACAACAACTGAGACGGCTCCGGTATCGAACCGACGACCTTCCAGTTCCAGGACGACTCCCCTAAACACCCCCCACCCATTATGTGTTCATACACTTTCACCACACATCACACGCACTGCATAACCTGTTAATTGATCTGCTAATTAGAAAAAAAATAAATCCACACACGTTCCCACACATTCCAGCCGTGACCCTGACACGCCATCACAATGATGAACCACCACAATCACACTACCCAACATCTGTGTTCAAACTACTGTAGAACAATTTTACTCCATCACATGTAACAGGGAGCACTCAAAGACCCTGCAAATACAACCCATGCTCACAATGATTTTAGCAAGTCATTATGCCAGTGTGAAGAGGCCAAAAGAGTAGGATGAAAACTCTGATGAAGCAGGCAGATATGAAGTGACACAGTTTTAATTATTTTCGCTCAAGAACAAAAGAAACTTGAAGAATTAAAGGCAGGGCCAGAAAACAGCAACCTTGGTGATCAGCTGAGAAAATCAGACAGTGACAAAAGGAAGTTGGACTGAAAACTATAGAGTGTGCAAAGCAAAGATAGAATAAAACATGAAAAGACTTAGACTACTAAATGTTTTACAAGTTCAATTGGAAAACCACAAATTATGCAAAAGTCTAGTTGTTTGCATATGCCACAGTAATATTTAATGAGCTGGGCATTTAGAAGCAAATGTCACAAAATTATGCTGCATTGCAACACAAACCCCTAAAACCATTGTTAAAAATGTGCCATAACGTTTTGTTTCCAAAATGCATCACTAAATTCTAAATTTGACCATCAACAATCTAGATGTTACTTAGATGAATGCCAGATGTATCTTTAGTTATAATACACAGTATTGTAGTACATAGAACTGGTTCTAGCTGCAATCCCATGTTTCCTTTCATTTATTTTCTTTCCTTTCAACACAATTATTTGAACCTCAACAGAATGTTCTTTTCTCAACTTTTGAAAGATTAATGAAGTCCTTGGAACATGTTTCACTTGGTGCGGAAGCAGAATCTAATAAGAACAGATCGTGTGCATTAATCACAACATTAATCACTCTGGAACAAATGAATGTCAGCACAGGTGCTGAGTTTTACATTTGCTGAAGATATTGTGTCTCCTTGAGTTGCAGAAGCTAAGTGACAAAGAAAATATATTATTTTTCTGTTTGTGGTATTTTGTTTCTCCTCTAAAAAAGCTTTTAAAAATGCTTAGTTTTTATTTGTTTGTATACAATTACTAGAATTGTTCATTTAGATGGAACAAATGCTCTTGTTTGAAATGCAACAACTAAATCCCCCTTTACACTAGAAGAGAATCCCACCATGCGCTCCTTAATCTACACAACCTAATTAAATGTGGCTGCATTGTGGCAGGGTACAGCAGAGCAGTGGTTAGGCAGTTTAATTGTTTGAATCAGGTGTGCTGAAGCAAGGAAACCACTAAAACAGGCAGGACAGTGGGTGACAAAGAACATGGTTGAAGACTCCTTCCCTAGACCATTTAGTGTACTATTTTGCACTGGAACTGCAGGCAATAGGCACAAGCTCCTGGAATGGAAAAGCCTAGTAAAAATAAAATGGATGGATTGATTGATTGATTGATTGATTGATTGATTGATTTTGACATGTTTGGAAAACCGATTAGCATAAGAAACAGGTGTGCTGATTACAAATTAGGACAGGTCAAAGGCAAGCCTGATGAAGGACCTGGTGTCAGACTTATAAAGCTTGTGTACGCACATAGCAAGCCTTGAAACTTGCGTATGCCCATTTTCATGCCAAGGTTGTGATTTATAAAACTCAAACTTGATGTGAAAATATGTGGTCCTTCACGCCAGCTCTGACCCATGCCTCCGCTCATTTTGGAGACGAAAAGCTGGCAACACAAATGGTGAAGTGAGGAATTTTAGCAACATGATCACTCTCAAATATTTAATTTTCCTTCATAATCAGACTCAGATGTTTGATCAACTTTATCATAAGCTTTCTGATGCTGTGTTCACACCGAACGCGATTTCAGCTTCAAAATCGCAGCCAACGCTTCAAGTTGGACGCTTGTGCACTTTGAGATCAGACGCAGGTCAGCTCTTGAAGCGCTCCCACGGCAAGAGCCTCCCCGCCCCTCCCTCCTCTGTCGGGCTCTGTTTAATGTCGGACGAGGAAGTGGCTTTGCTTTATTTACAGAGAGCAAGAGCATGTCAYGTTCATCAGATAATTAATTCATAATTAATTCACCAGATAATTCAGAGACA